TGAAGGTGATAATATTACTCCATTGCTAATGAGATATGCTTTTGATTTTTCACAAAGACAAGTAAGGTAAGTTTGTATAATTTTCGCTGTCTCAAGTGACGGTCCGTTTGCTGTTCGAAAAGGTGTTCTCCATAATAAAGGAACAACTACTTTACACCAACTTCTATTAACCAGAAGAGAAGAATAAAGAGAGCCTTTATCAAGATATTCAAAGACTTCACGAAGACATTCTGGTGGTAAAGAGGTAGCTGCAGTTTTATAACCTAATAAATGACGTTCAAAATCAACAGGTTTTTGTTTCGTGGACGAAAATGTTGCACCCATTTTTTTTTCTTATATTAAAGGATGCTAAAATGTCGAGAATTCAAATTTTCATATAAGTATGCAGGTCATGCAAGAATTAGCCAATCAAATATCATTTTTGGTGGTCCAATCATTTCAAATCCAATTTATCTGACTACAAATATATTTTAAATAAGGAAAATTTTATATTACCGGTAAATTTTTTTTTAACTTACAATTATTACATAATTTAAGATCCGAAATCGAAAATAATATAAAATAAACTCAAATCAAACAAACGTCTTAATGTACCTAAGTACGTGCGTACGTACGTGCCAGTACGTACGTACTTACGTACATCCGTTTTTCAGGGTTTCCATTTGCTCACAACAGTTTATTTTTTTTACCCGTGGAAGCGTCAGTGATACGGGATCGACATCCCGTATACTCGATATCTAAATAATATTTATTTAGGATACGTAAATAATATTTATTTTGATACGTAAATAATATTTATTTAGGATACGTACGTAAATAATATTTAGGCTAGAACAAATATATATAAACCTTTTTTTTTTTTTTTTGTCATCGGATTTTTTAGATTTTTAGATTTTTAAGTTACCGGATACAATCCCTAAAAAACCAGATATTGAGTCCGCTAACAATACACTTGAAACCCCGATAACACTGTATGAAAAAAATTGCTAAATATTAAATAAATAATTTACTTTCGAAAGTATTTAGCATTTTTAACACATTATATTTATTATTACTCAACATCTATTTATTATTGTATACAAATTAGATCAATTTTTTAAATCAATGCAAGAATGTAAAGTAAATAAAATCACGTTATAATTTATGAATAACATGATCATAAAAAAAAAAAAGTACAATTGTTCTAAATAAAATTAAAGTCTAGCAAACCCACGAGACAATATATAAATGTTCTAATAATTTATGATTAATCAACTGCCATAATCGTTTCTCCGTTTCCATTTTCAACTTCAATATCTTTAGTTTCACTTTTAGTTTTGTCTGTATTTTGAACATCTGTAGGAGTATCTTCTGCCATTGTAACTTCTTCAAGCTTAGCTTCTTCGATATTAGATTCTTTGAAATTAGGTTCTTCGGATTTGGGTTCTTCAGTGTTAGGTTCATTTTTCGATTCCTCAGTTTTGGGTTCCTCGGGTTTAGGTTCTTCAGGTTTGGGTTCAGGTTTTGGTTTTGGTTTTGACAAGATCGGGGATGCAAAATGTACTAAATTCTATATGTATATGTATATATGTATTAAATACACAATATAATTATATTTATTATTCATCTAACAAATTGTTAACTAACCTCACGCTCCTTGTAAATTTCTCGGCATAAAACTGCTGGCGGTTCATATTTTGGCAAACTTTCTTGTGCCTTCAATTTCTCATTTAACCATTCGGACATTTTTGTTGCCTTTTCTACAATGCTCTTCTTTTCTTCTTCAGGAATATGTGAAAATCTTTCTTCACCACTAGATGCACTAAGAATGAATGATTGTATGCTTTCTCGTAATGATTGTTCGGCTTTTGGTCGTTCTTCTGCTTCACGGTATCGTTCTGCGATAGGCCCTCCATACGTTTTCAATTGGTCAAATTTTTCAACATACACTGATTTACTGGCATCTTCCCCTTCATCATAAAGCCAACTTTCGGTATCATTAAGGAGTTGAAGAAATTTATCTTTAACATTAGGATTAACATATTCACTATAAATCGTCTCCACTTTGGATCGAGTATCATAAACATATTCTTCAAGCGCGTTTTTTTGCGTTTCTGTATCTGCCACAAGCTTATCTGATACTATCATTTGCACTTCTAGTTCCTTAAATTGTGTGATAACCGATTTGTCTAATCCATTATGACAAGATGTAATTGGCAAATCTCCCTTTTTTACGAGCTTTTTCACTTTCTTGACAGGAGGATTTGAGGGCGGCTTAGCATTTTCTGAAGGTGTACTATCAGTATCCATCGGTTGTGGTTCATTCGTTGTAGTTGTTGTATTTGTAGTAGTATTTGTAGTAGTAGTAGTAGTGGTGGTGGTGTCAGTAGCAGTAGTAGTGGTAGTAGTAGTAGTCGTTGTCTCTTCTTTTTCTTCCTTAATTACTTCTTCTACAATATGGGCATTATCCACGGAAAGTATTCCATGCATATTAAGTCTGGCCTTAACCCTAACTATACTCAAATCTCCTTTGTCTGTGGGTGCTACTCGGTTAATAGAAAATTTACCGATCCAAGGACCAGTACTCGGAATTTTATCTGGTTCAGAATAATAAGCTTCAATATCAAATGGTTCCTTTCGATAAAATGTCAAGATTTTTGTAGAAGGAATATTGTTTGATCTTGGAAATACGACAAGTTCGGAATCTTCATCGGGAATTTCGGGTATTTTATTCCATGTAATTTTAATAGGGTAAGGGATAATGTCCTGAACATTAAATTCGCGAACCTTAAATACTGGTGAAAGAATAGCACATTGAAGTGCACATCCACGAGCAACTGCTTCATCTTGATTAAGTGTATATTTGAGTTCTTGACCAAAAAATTTTGAAATTCTCTCTTTAACGGCTGGAATGCGTGTTGATCCACCAACTACTTCAACTGAGTGAATATCTTCCAAAGAAAGCCCTGAATCTTTAAACGCTTGTTCAAGTGGTCCCTCTATACGTTCAAGAAGATGTTCGACTAATTTTTCAAATTCATCACGAGATAAGATAGCACTGACATCAATATCATTCATTATCGATTCTACATTAATAGGTGCTTGAGCATTAGCAGAAAGAACTTTTTTCAGTTTTTCTACTCCTGTACGAAGACGAAATAGTGCTTTTGAATTTGATTTTATGTCAATTTTATATTTTTCTTTAAATACTTCGGTAAAATGATCTATTAAAATTTGGTCAAAGTTTCGACCACCAAGATGTCTATCGTAAGCAGTGGATTTAACTGTTAATTGTCCCTTGAGAAAGGAAACAATTGCCACGCTATAACTTGAGTAACCAATGTCTACAAACACGACATTTCGAGGTTTATCCTCGGGCAAGTCAGTCTTTGTAATACCATAACCTAATGCTGCCGCACTAGTATCATTTAACAAACGTAAGCAGTTTAAACCGGCAACTTCGGCCGCGTCAAGGATCCTACGACGTTGTGCATCTGTGAACCAGCCAGGAACTGAAATTACAACATCAGAAACCGGAATCTTAAGCTCAGCGGAAGTGATATCCTTAAGTTTGGTAAAGTACATGGCAACCAATTGCGTAGCAGTAAATACGCGTTGCTCGCCATGATATTGAACCTATATAAATAAATAAACGCGTGTCATGAGCGAAGATTATGTTCCAGCACACAGTAAATAATTTGATCTCACTATCCTGAAATCATAAGCTAATTTAACAAATAGGTGTACCTTTACGGCAACTTGACCCTTTTCATCTACCAATTCTGCATTGATATACTGCTTTTCGACTTCATGAAGTTCACTGTCTTGAAATGCGTAACAAATGAGCCGTTTTAAAGATCCGACTGTATTTTTGAAGTTAGAAATCTCCTGTGTCTTAGCTGCTTCTCCTAAATATCTATTTTTAGGACCAAATGAAACTAACGACCTAAATGGTTACGAGTATGTTATTTTAGATCTTGAAAATTATATACCGCAGCAATATATGATTAAATATTACATACGGTGTAGTTCGGTTCGAAACCTCATTACAAATTACATCAATACCACGATTACGTGCCACGGCAATTTTGGATTGAAGGTTACCAAAGTCAAAGCCTAAAACAAATTAAAAATAAATCAGGACCTTCATAGTAGAAGTTAAATTACAAGAGAAGTCACATTTATATATTTACAAACCTACAACAGACATTATGAAAGCTTTTTTTTTTATTACAAATTACGAAGAAGGAAGACTGCAACTATAATTGTTCGCTTTTAAATAGCTTTTATAGGAAAGTTGATCTAACCAATAAAAAAAAAAATCGGGAACAATCTCGAGGTTCCAGTTCATTCTACGACATTCTTTGGTCTAATACGCAATCGTGATATGATAAATAACTCAAGTGACATTCCTAAATTATTATAAATATATGATGTGATTAAGAATGTGATTATCGAACCTTTGAAGTTCGAACTTTATCTTGTATAACATACACATCTTTTTATATCAATATGGTGGTGGGCGCCCAAATGTTGTTAAATTTTCAACGCAATGCAAAAAATTTTCAAAATTCCACCCTTAAGTTTGTAGAGTTTTTATTATAAAAAAAAAAAAAAAAAAAATAGGTGGTGAATTTTTAAATTTTTGCCTCCTACATTGAGTTAAAAGGATCTTAAAATTTCAAAGCGATGATCCGCAGTTAAAGTAGTTAAAGGTATGTCCGGAGCATTGCGGAGGATATAATAAAAGAGTAATAGACCTGATTTTGCGATAATGCTACTTTCTTCTATTTTTAGCTAGTCATTTATGATACGTACGTACGTAACAAATCGGTCAAAATATATTATGTATCAAGCTATCTTTAGCGTATATATTTTTTTCTTTAAAAATAATGTATTTGTAATAACTATTACTTTATAGTTAGCCAATAATATTTCGATTTAGGGTTGATCGTATCTTAAGAGAATTACTATTTGTATTCAGTGGGTATAATACCCGGTATAAGAAAAAAAAATCAAAAACTATTAATACTGTATATATTTTCATATATAGTCTAATAAAGATATAGTTTTTTAAAGTTAAATTTAGTTGATTTATATATAGCTTGTTATATACTGTATATTAATTTTTTTTTTAGCTATAGTTTTTTTTTGAGTTTATTTAATAGATTAGAATTTTTTTTTCACTTTGGCAGCCTTGTTAGTAATCTAGATTAATTTGTATAATATTACAAATTGTTAAGCTAAATACAGTCGACTTCCTCTAAACGCATCTCGTTGGGACCAGACTTTTAGCAACATGCATTAAGAGAACGATTAAGAAAAATGTATTTATAGAAATCAAATGGGCTAGGAGCTGAGAAAAGGGACCAAATTGACAATTTTTTTAAAAGTAATTTTTTTATATAAATCAATTTAGAATAATATTAGGATCATTTTTTATCTAAAACACAAAAGTAGCTGCATTAATAAAATTTTGCAGTACAGTCCTTTAAAGTTTCATTTTTCTTATAATCTATTATAAGATTTACAATACAAAAATTGATTTTCTGAAGATCTTTTGTTTTGTCAATTTGGTTCCTTTTCTCAGCACCTAGCCCAAATATATATGTGGGCCCAGAATTTAAACCTGCATTTAGAGAGAACATGCATTTAAAGAACATGCATTTAGAGGAAGTTGATTATATTTAATTGGGAAGTTAGAAATATCTGTATTATATAAGAGAATACAAATTGGTACTAGGCAGTACAAATTTATAATAAGTCTCTTGACTATATATAGAAATCTATATAAATAGAATCAATTTTACCAACCTATTTTTCAAATTTTCTTATTTAGAAGAATGTTAAACTAAAGCAATTAAAGTTAAAATTGGGGTTGTTCAGAAGTTAAAGATTAAGCAAGATTTATAGATAAAATTACATTTCTAATATTTTTTGTTAATGTTTCAAAAGAAGTTTAGATACTTATTTTTTGTATTTTTTGTTTTTTTTTTTGCTTCATAAAATTTTACAATTTGATTAGTTAGTTTATATAGATCATCTAATTTAATTGGTTAATTTATATAGATCATCTAAATAAAAAAATTAAAAAATAGGCCAATAAAATTGGTTTACAAATAGAAAGGTTATAGAAGTTTATTTTAGAAAATCTGAGTAGAAGATAATACAAGATTTTTGATGATACCATTATAAAAGTTAAATCTAGAAAATAGATATTGGCAAAACAAACTAAATAAATATATATTATTAGACAAAAATTTGTAAATTACAGCAATTTGGCAAATAAATATACAATATATTACTTTGTAGTATATATAGCCAATTATTTGCTAAATTGTTATATTTACAAATTTGCTTAATAATGATATTATCTAGCAATTTATAATTATAATTGGTAAGAGACATGACAAAAATCAGGTGATTTTTTAGGAGGGAGAAGGTAAAAAAAGTTAAAATTATATATAAGAACCTGATTTTTTTTTATATTAAAAGAAGAGAAGAGAGATAAGCCTCTGATAAAAAATAATCAAGTAATAAATGACACTGCCCTAAGAAGTGGTTGACTAAATTTTAATTTGAATAAATATAATTACATTGTATTATAAAAAAATAACAAGACAACTAGCAATTTATAATTATAAGAGTTTGTCAAATAAAATATAATTTGTAAACAAGTGAATCTACTAATCAAATCACTAAAATTCAGACTAAAAAAAAAATATTGGACTAAACTCAATATATCAAGAATAGATTATAGTTTTTTTAGGCTATCTGAATTAAAAATTTAAAAAAAATTGCAGAATATACTCAAGTACTAGGAATATGCTATAAAGTAAAAACTAAATCTTGTTATAAATCTATAAAAACAAGTATTAGATAATAGTAATAGAGGTCAAAAGATTAACTATAAATACAAATTCTCAAACTTAGTATAAATTACTAAACTTAGATTAGCTATAAATAAAATACAAAAAGCTCTAGCAGATTTGCTTTTAAGAATAAAAGATCTTAAAATTTTTAGAAGAGTTTATTTTAAAAATCTTAAGCTAAATAAGCAAAATAAGAGGCATTATATTTTTTGTTTAGTTTAAAATATATTTATTTGTATAAATAATACAAACTTTTTTTAAAAAAATAGCTAGTTAGAAAGTATAAATTTTAACTATTTTGAATTAGTTTAATATGAATTTCAAATATATATAAAAAAAAACAGTAAAAATATTCAAAAACTAGTATCTAAATTAATTTTAATATATTAATTAAAATTTTTAGAAATAAATTTTTATATATAATAAGTAACAATCTATTACTATAGTCTTTAATATTAATATCTTAATTCTAAATTTATATTTTTATATATTTAGTTTATTTACAAAATTTGATTTTTTTTTTTGGTCTGTATTATTCATGTAATCTTTAGTTTGTAAGATATTTAATATATATACAAAAGGTTTAAATAGATAACTTTCTAGTTAAATTATAGATATAGCAACTAATATAAAACTTAGTAATAAATAAACTACTTAAATAAGCAACAAATTAAATTAACAAAAAACTATAAAAAACACACAAAAGCTATCAAGAAACCCAACTTGGAGCTTTAAGAAAAAAGAAAAAAAATCTCAAGAAATACTCAGTCTCTTAAAAAACTTGAGTAAGAAAAGCAGAAGTGGCAAAGAAATAGAAGAAGTCATGAAAAATCATCGATATTTTTTTGCTTTCTGTAAATTTTTGAGAAATTGGTCTTGAATCTAAATCGCAAATCTGTTTTGGTAATACAAAAATCACAATATATAATGAAGAATAAACAAAAGAAATATAAAAAAAACTACAAAACAGAAATAAACAAAGTCAGTAAACAATTACAACAAACAACAACAATCAATAATAATAGAAAAACAACAAGTTATATGAAGCAAAACTCAGTAAAATATTCTGAAAAAAAGATCTTTACAAAGGAAAAAATATTAGAAATTATCCAGAACATAATAGCAGATATAACTGACAAAAAAATAAACTTTAAAGTAGAGTAAATTATAGCAGAACAGGTTAGAAAAAAACTTATTACAAAAAAAAAGTCATATCACAAATAGAAGAGCTCTATAAAGAAATATAGCAATATAATAAAAGAGAACTAGAATATACAAAACATATACTTTTGAAAAAAACTATTATAGCTTTTATGAAGCAATACAACAAGAAGTAGATCTAGTTAATTTTATTATACAAAAAAAAATATGCAATATAATAAAGGAATTAAAGATAGCTAACAAAATAAAAAGCTTACTAGAAAATAGAAAAAAAACAAGAAAAGCAAGATGCTAAAATAAAGTCGAAACTAGGATTATTTTAGAGCAAAAAACTCCAAGAACAAAGGAAAAGCCAATAAAGATAGTATAATAAAACAGCCCTGAAGTCTTTGATATACTAATTTAAAGAATCTGTTAAGTCTATTGCAAAAAATCAGTAAAAAATAAAAAAGAAAGCCAAAGAAGAAAAGAAAAAAATGCAAGCTTTACAAAAAAAAAAACAAGCCACTAAGCAGAGAAAAACAATAATAGATACTAGAGCAAAACAAGCTGCTAAAATAAAGTTAAAATTAGAAAATGATTGGAGCAAGAGACTCCAAGAACAAAAAAAAGTAGACAAAGTTAGCACAACAAAACAGCTCTGAAGAAATTATCTCAACAATTTAAAGAATTCGTTAAAATCACTATAACAAACTAGCATAAGATAAAGAAAATAACCAAAGAAGAAAAGAAGAAGTTGCAAGTTCTTCTAAGAGAAAAACAAGCTG